CCCTTTACCATCCCCGTCCCCACAGGTGGCTGGGCCCTCAACATGAAGGACCTCAAGTTGTTGCAGATCATTGGCAAAGGGGAATTTGGAGGTGAGCCCCCCATGTCCCCAACGCAGTGGTAGCCCTAAATGAGGGTGGGGAGCTTTCCTGCAGCCCCCTCAGGGGGATGGTGGGGCCCCCGGGAGGCTGGGATGCTTCCCAGTGCCTCCCGTGCCTGTCTCTCCTGGCCTGCAGACGTGATGCTGGGGGATTACCGGGGCAACAAAGTCGCCGTGAAGTGCATTAAAAACGATGCCACAGCGCAAGCCTTTCTGGCAGAGGCGTCCGTGATGACGTGAGTGGTACTGGAGGGGGGGGACAGTGGGAGGGAGGGGGCACCTCTGTCTGAACAAGCAGAGGCAGGTGGTCCCTGATGCCCTGCGGGGACCGTGGGCACCCCTCTTCTCCCCAAACCCCTGCCCTGACCCCTCCCACGCTGCGCAGGCAGCTCCGACACAGCAACCTGGTGCAGCTCCTGGGGGTGATCGTGGAGGAGAAGAGTGGCCTTTACATCGTCACTGAGTACATGGCCAAGGTGAGACCCCCCATCCCGGGCACCTGCCCTCTTGCTCTGCCCCCTTTCCCCCCCTCCAGACCCAGCTGGGTCATCCCAACATGGGTGACATCTCCCTGGGACCACCGGGATGTTTAGGGGTGGCATCGCTGGCTCCAAGGGAGGGATGTCGTCCCAGGGTGCTGCCCCACACGGGATGGGGTAGTGAGTGGGACGCTGGCCCTGATGGCACCCTCTCTCCATCCCTCCAGGGCAGCCTAGTAGACTACCTGCGGTCGCGTGGGCGGTCGGTCCTGGGCGCAGACTGCTTGCTGAAGTTCTCCCTGTAAGTACGACAGTGAGGCACCGCGGGTTGGCCGTGCTCGCTGCCCTGCCCTGCCCCCACCGGCCTTTTTGGGGCCACCTTGCTGACCCCCTTCTCCCTCTGGCCCCAACCAGAGATGTCTGTGAAGCCATGGAGTACCTGGAAGCCAACAACTTTGTCCACCGGGACTTGGCAGCGAGGAACGTCCTGGTCTCCGAGGACAACATCGCCAAGGTCAGCGATTTCGGGCTGACCAAGGAAGCCTCCTCCACGCAGGACACGGGGAAGCTGCCGGTGAAGTGGACGGCACCAGAAGCACTTAGAGAAAAGGTGGGTGAGTGGAGCTGGAGGTGGGTCCCAGGCGGTGAGGATGTGCTGGAGGCTGGAGGAAGGGGGTACATCTCGGGCTGTCCCGGATTTTTCCCTAGTGCTTGAGCTTCAGTTCTTGCTGTCTGACCCCCAAAACCAGCTTCCCTGAGGGTGGGGAAGATCTGCAGCCCCCTCATCCCTGCCTGACCCCACTCAGGGGGATTTTCTCCCTTCCCTCCAGAAATTCTCCACCAAGTCAGACGTGTGGAGCTTTGGGATCCTCCTCTGGGAAATCTACTCCTTCGGGCGAGTGCCTTATCCGAGAATCGTAAGTGAGGACCACCCCTTCCCCTTGCTTCTGGGCTGTTTTTTTGGGGGTAGGGACCCCATGCCCCCCCCGCCGCATACTGCAACCCACCTCTGTACACCC